ATGAAGAAAAGAAGAAGAAGAAAGAAGGAGAAAAGAAGCAGAAGTACACAAGGGTTTTAGAAAGGAGAGAGAGGGACAGAATAATGAATCTGCCGCCCTACTCTTAATATTTATATGTTTACTAATTGTAGAAAAACAGAATTGCCCTTAATGCTTACATGGCAAATAAACTAATAATAAGCTGAAATAGCAAGCTGTCTGAAATAACTACCAACTAACACTGACATAACTAACAAAGAGTACATGCTGTGCTGTCATACGAACACAGTGGGGACCACAGCTGTGGGGCCCACATCAGTGTTCTCTACATTTAGCAGGTTCTAGCAGGCAGTTCAGCAGGTGTATTTCAAACAATGTCAGTCTTTGTTAAGAGGAATCATGGACAGGTTGCAGTACAAATAGTATATGTAGAACTGTAGATGACATTATCATCACATGCAACTAGGAATCTAAGATACAAAAACTAATAGTTTTTAGCAACCCAAATTGAACTGAAAGATCTAGGACCCCTACAGTATTTCCTTGGAATTGAAGTTGCCTGCTCACAAAAGGGTATCTTTGTTTCTCAAAGAAAATATATCCTAGATCTCTTGAAGGACACCAGGAAACTAGGAGCAAAGCCAATTGATACCCCTATTGATGCTAATCACAAAGTAGGTGATTGCAATGGAGAACCTTTGAAGGATGTGAAATAGTTTCAAAGGCTAGCAAGAAGACTGTTGTATCTCTCTATGACATGCCCTAAAATTGTTTATGCTTTGGGGGTTCTAAGCCATCTTATGCATTTCCCTAAAGTACCACACTTGGAGGCTGTTGAGAGGGTCCTCAAGAACTTGAAGTATCCTAGAACTAGTTTGTTGTTCAAGAAGCACAACAGCATGAAGGTGGAGGTTTATACAAATGCAGACTGGGCAAGTTTTGTGGATGATAGAAAATCCAGCAGTGGGTACTGTACCTTGGGTGGGAACCTGGTGACATGGAGGAGAAAAAACAGAATGTAGTTGCATGGTCAAGTGCTGAGGCAGTGTATAGAGCTATAGCACATGGGGTGGCTGAAGTACTGTGGACAAGAACTTGTCAAGAGAGAGGGGGTTTAACGCTCACAGCCCTAGAAGGGAGAAGCCTGAGAAGGGGGAAGTCTACACTTAGTATGTTAGTTCAAAATAACAACTTGCTGATGTTCTCACAAAGGGACTCCCATTGTCTGCGACACAATTAACTTTGAGACAAGTTGTCATGATTGACATATGCAGCCCAACTTGAGGAGTGCTGTTAGTTTTGTTGTCACAGTGCTGTTAGTGAGCTGTTAGAAAGTTGTCCCGTGTTAATTTTATGTTATTTTTCATTAGACTGCCAGTTGGGGGTATAGATGTGATTTCATCATTTTTATTTTGTCTCTATTATAAATAAAGAAGAGGGTGCTGCCAACCTATCTTTTGGCTTTCGATCCTTTCCCTTCCCCTCTCCCCTCCCTCTTCTCTCTTCTCTTATTCTCTTCTCTTTCTTCTCTATTCTCCACTGATTCTCTTAGTGAAAACAGTAACTATCTCAATGGTATAATATTAATGAACTTAAGTGATTTGTGTTACAGAAGTAAAAAGAGTCAGCAATGTGTGACATGGTACAGAAGTATTGGTTACATTACTGCATAAAAGATACAACTCTTCTTTGAAGTCCAAACCATCAGGTACCTTTTTAATTTTTATTATGAACCATGGTTTGGAAAAAGAAATAAAAAAAAAAAAGAACCTTGAGTAACAGCTTAAATTGAAGATTAAACGGGTATTTCCCACTATCAGGTCATGGGCACTTACAAGAAGGTAAGAGGTGCAAGGACCAAAATCAGTGATTTAAAAGGCGTGCCTAGGCACAAAGGTGAGGCACAGTTTAGGGTATGCACCTCACCTATGTCTTAGGAGGAACACTTTCAAAAGGCGTGCGCCTTCCGAAAACTCCATATTTTCTAATGTTGCTCATTCATTCATCCTAATAAAAGATATTTTTAAAAGACAATTCAAGTTCTAAAACCTTTTTTATAGGGATTAAGAATTTAAGACCCTGATATGGACTTCTTTGGGCATGCCTCGAGGTCTTGGTACAAAGGTAGCTCATAGAATCAAGAATGCATAATGTTTGACATCACATTAGCTATTTGAAGTAATGCAATTGGGAAAAAATAAGGAGATTAAGAGTTGACATGCTTGAATATTTTTATATGTTATGCCTGATTTTATTTTTAAATTTTCATTATAAATATGTTTTACATGTTATGTTTATGTATTTTAACTTGAGATAATAGGTTGTTTAAGCATTTATTTTAAAATTTAAGTTTATATTTTTAATTAATAATATGTTTAACATTTGTATTATTTTGCTTTTTGAATTTTTTAGATATTTTGCCTTGCTTCAAAAAGGGGCACCCCTGCCTTGCACCTCCGGCACAATATAGCCCTTGAGCTTTTTTGCACCTTACGCTTTTAAAACACTGACCAAAATCAATAATGCTGCCAACCCCCCTCCCTTGAAACTTTCTCTCATTTCAATTGACAAATAGAGGGGGTCCTCTTCCCATTCTCTAGAGAATACAAGATAAATAGGGCTTCTGTCACCTTCATTTGCCTGTTGCTATTTTAGGCATTAGAATAGAGGCTTTGCCCCAATAATTGATTGCATGCCAAAATCTTGTGCATGTAGAAAAATTGATGTCCAGTGCTTTTTTTCAAGTTTTTTGAATTATTGCATGCTTAAGTACGTTAAATATTGTTTATTTTACTAGTTAGGATTTATAGGAAACTATTATTGCTTATAATAAGTGGAAGCATAAATCTTGCCAACATGTAACATACACTGTATGTAATAGATCTTATTTCTACTTGAAAACCATCAACTAGTTGACAAGGCCCTACCCTGTTGCCTAGTCTTGCCTAGCTCCCTTTATATCCATGCATGAAATTTTGAAACCATTAATTTCTGAATAGCAACTGCTAGAATATTACCACTTACCTTTAGGAACCCAATATCTATGGTCCCTCCTCTCCTCTTTCTTTAAAGGTTCATGAAAGCCAAAAATTTCAGAGAACCTTAATACCACCATTCCATCTTCAATACATAAAATAGGAAGTGACGTCACAGTTTTGGCGTTTAATGAGTTCTGCATGTTGTCGGGTCCATCCTAGAAGATCACATGCAACAAAACAAGTACAGAAAGAAATAAATAGAACAAGAAAATGAGAAAAGTAAACTCAAAGAAAAAATGGTATCACAATTAACTACAGTATTCATTGCTAAACTAATGCAAGCAAATGACAATCAAATGTAGTTTCTAGTCTAATTAAAGACTTTTCTGATCCACTCCCCAGTCCCTCTAGCACCATCCAAATGTTCCTTGCTTATGACCACCAATATATGGATTTTTATTCATATATTTTTTAAGAAGATAAATTTTCATGGCTTTTTAGACTCACTGAAACCGTAAGAAGATTCAACTTCCTATGTTAGAATGACAGAAAAAAGTATTTCTAATTTGATTTTCTTAACTCCTAAATTAATGATCATCCTCCTGGAAATCATGATTTGGACCATTTATGCAGTTATCCTCTAATATTAATTCCAAAAGGGGCCATTACCCAGTGTAATAGTAAAATCTCAGGCTGGCCAGCATGAGAACCAGGTTCGAGTCTGAGGATATGACTTTGTGCAAAATGTGCTAAAAGTTAAGACCATAACCAGTCTACCCCTCCCAAGACCACAGATAGCTAGGACCATGGTTCAAAGTATCGATACACCTCTCTGTATCGGCACTTTGAACCATGTGCATTTTATTTTTTTTAGTTTTTTCATATTTCAGTTTTAAGACTATTTTATATATATTATTTAATAAAAAAGGTTTCTGAAAACACCTGTAAACAGGTGTATCAGGCACCTAAAGATACGACACGATACGCCCAATATGGGGTGTATCATATAAATACTTTGAACCTTAGCCGGGACCAACATTGGGTAACGGCTTTTTTATTCTCTGCAAACAGAGGAGCTGTTCTTTGATTAGAAAACAAACCATATAGGTGGAAGTAAGAGTGGAGGTTGGAGGTTCATTATGTCATTCTTAAGTATCAGGGGAGAAATAGGTCCATGAGATATTTCTTACTTCTGTCAGTGGAGGAAAACCAAACCATGACAGACTGTGCAAATCATTTACACTACAAACGAGCCCAATGCAAGTGATCCTATTCACCCTTTGTGTGTGTAGTTAGTCACTATATTTGTCTCTTCTTGACTCTTTTTTTATCAGCTTCTTGATTCTTTCATCTTGATAAAGGGTTGTTTACCGAGCATGAATGAAGAGTTCCCTTAGTGTTCAAAAGCGGTTTTCCGAGTGAGTTATATGGTTCTTTTGGTGTTTCTTTTTCTGAGATTTTTTGTTCTAGGTAATTGGAAGATGAAGTTTATGAAGTTACGATCAAAGCAGGATGCATTTCAGGCGGATGGAAATTGTATCAGAGTGTAAACTTTCCAGAATCGTCACCAGACCTCCATGAAAACCTCAACCACAACTAGTAAACCACATCACCTTAACCAGTAGCCCTGCTTCAAACCTTACCCACTCTGTGAAAGCCACAATACTTTAACCAGTAGCTCTGTTTTAAACCTTACCCACATCTTGTCCCTTCAAATTGAATCCAAATGTTTTTCCTTTCACCATGTAACCTTAGCCAGTGAGGAACTGCTCAAGATAACTGAGCTGGGCAGGGGCTGCACTTACCTCACAAGATACAGCCTAGATTGGTTTGTCCATTTTCTGGACCTGGCATCTGAGGATGATGGTGACCATAAATGGAGCAAATACAGGGAGAATGAGAGATTGTATTTCACAGAGATTAGAGAAAAATATGAAAGGAGCCCATGCGATCTTGTTGGAATTTTTTGGTAAAGGCCAAAGCAAATCCATCATTATCCCCAACAGAAATCAAGAAGGATGGAAAGCTTCCAGTTCCCAAGTTGAAATGGAGCTGACCTCTGGAACAGGTATTGTGGAGAGTCGTAAGATGGAACCTGTAAAGCCCCAGACAAAGGAGGGCAGGGAAGTGATTAACACATACAAGGACAAATTAATTGTCACACCAGAAGTGTTAGTGGTAAAAAACATTCAATCAAAGATGTCGATGAGGGTAGAAAGCTTGGAGGATGGTTAAAGTATCTGGAAGGAAGCCTTGGTGTGTGAGGTTAAAGGAAGACCGAGATGGACTCAACTTGTGATATTCAAACCGTCTCAGATGCTCTATGTTTTACCTTTCAACAATCATGAAGCAGTCCTATTTTTTTATTGGCAAATGAAATTTATTTTATTAGAAGAGATAAAATTAACACATTCAGATGAAAAGACTGCCAACCCAAGAACACAAGCAAGTTTACAATGAAGCCTAAAAAAGTTGCTGTGTTGCTGTCTTATGATCCCTTGCTTAGCAGGGGAATCAGCCATCCTATTTGCAGTCCTTCTCATAGGGGTGCAAATGGATCAGATCATGATCCGATTCAAATTCAAATCCAATCCAATTTTTCTGGGTTAGTAGAAAAGCTGATAGTTGTTTTTTAATATAAACTTTGTGAAGAAAAGAAGAAGATGATGAAAGGTTTCAGCTAGAAAGAAAGAAAGAGAAGAAGAAGAGAATGAGAGGTAGCCAAAAAGAATTAGTTCTGGCCACCCCCTTCCTTTGATTTATATACTTTATAAAAAGAATATACAAATACAAGAATACCCTTAGTAGGTCGGCTACTAGTAAGTAGCTGAAAAGGCATAATAAACTAACATAAACTGAGGGCCTAAGGCCCAATAACTTCCTAACTAAATAAAGTTAATAAAAATAAAACAAAGCTGGGCCTAATAACTTAACATTGGCCCAATAACTCAACAGGGTTCAGATATCCCCCTATCAGATTTTGGATCAGACCGAATAATAGGATGTGATTAAAAAATCTGATCAAATTCGGATCACCCACTATACATACATGCACACACATATAAGTTAGTTATTTATATATTTATAAATATGTTTATATTGCATTTTTGTATTTTTTATATTATTTTTTATAAAAAAGACATACATATGATAAAAATAGCTGAAAAAAATGCTTGTATTTTTTGTTTTTATTTATATAGACTGTTATGTTTTTTTCTTTTAATAATTTGTTAAGTTTTACAGAAATTAAATCGGATCAGATCAAATTTAGATATCTGTAGAGGAGATGGGCCGAATGGCCCATAGACTGTTATTTCATGTTATGTTTATGTTTCCCTCTGTAATGGGCCCTATTTTGGGCCCATACTCTGTAATGTTCTGTTTCTGTAATTTCTTGCCCACTCAAGGGCCTCTCTGTAATATTTCAAAGATTAACTTAATAAAATGTTTAGAGTGTTAGAGGGAGGTTTAGTTCGAACCTCTCACTCTCTAACTCTCATTGTCGCTAGCTCTCTCTCTCTCTCTCAACTTCTTAATCTTCTCTTGTTCATTTTTCTGGTTTTGCATCTAATCTCAAGCAGTCCTATACTTCAAGAGGACTGTTTTCAACTTGGTCTCAGAGCGGGCCAGAGCTTGGCGTGACCCTCATGTGGTTTTAGTCCAGCCAACTGCATGAGGATGTTCTAGGGCTGGAAGTTTAAAGTCATTCACCTGGTTCTTGGAGGTCATTGGAGGGTGCCCAAGTCTCTACACACTTGGAGAATAGTTCGGTGACCAGGAAGAATCAGAGAGCAAGGTG